ATGTAATTTACATCTTTTATAACGAACTTTCCAACATTATAAAAAATTTGAAAAATTAAATTGATTTAATTTACTTTTAGCATTTGTAGATAAAATCTAATTCATAATAAAACCTTAGTTATCAAAGATATGTTTTGTAGTATATGCTTCTCTAACATATTTGGTAGTAATACCAGAAGGGAAACACGCATATTGCGAATTCGCTATAATGGTTATACGAATTTGTTATACGGATATAACGAAATATTTACATTTCCAATGTCTTTGTCCGAGATAAAATTACCAATTGTAAATGTACTTTATTTTCCCATCAATGTATTGGCGCGGTTCCAAAAAAACCACGTGCAGGGCGGGACAAACAGCTAGACAGAAGCAGGGCTTGGAGCAACGTGGATTGGCGGAATCAAAGCATGTAAATATAAGGAATAACTGTCTTATTTTTCAATTTCATGAAGATGATCAATCGATTGGCTTGCGTGATAATTTTATGCATAAACGCCTTCGGCGTTTATGCAAATTATCATGCAAGCCAATCGATTGATCACTTCATGAAATAGAAAAATAAGACAGTTATTCCTTAATTACGGATATAGCGAAGTAAATTCACAGGTCCCCAGGACTTCGCTATAACCAAGTTTTACTGTAATCAGGAGTGCCCTTATCACACATGAACCCCTGACCCTAGGTCTACACATTGCACAATTTTTGAAAAAGGCACACTTGCTTATCACAAATTTTTGATTAATACCAAGGAGCAGATTTCAAACAATTCATTTTCAGTATATAAGTAGAGCCCCCCCCCCCCCCCTTTGGTATCCCTGGCCCAGGGGCGATGAAATTCACAATTCTGGAAGAAGAGCCCTTGCACATCATAACTATATAAATAGTTCATCTGCTTATTACCCAGGAGTAGAGAAAAAGATTTTCATAGATGTAATTTATTATCACTATATAATCATTATAGAGCCATGCCCGAACACCATAACCCCTAACCATGGGGTTATAAAATTCACAATTTGGTAGAAGCATTCTTGCTCATCATAACTATGTCCTTAATTATTTTATTTAATACCTAGAAGTAGAGAAGAAGCTTTTCAAAGAATAAATGCCTTTTTACTATATAATCAATATTCAAGTGTGCCCCGCCTTAATTAACACCAGAACCCCTGACCCTGGGGCCATAAAATTCACAATTTTGGTAGAGGCACTCTTGCTCATCAGAACTATGTACTTAGTTAGTTTATTTAATTTCTAGGACAAGAGAAGAAGATTTTCAAAGATTTAATGCATTTTCACTATATAATCAATACAGCCCCGCCCTAACACCATAATCCCTGACCCTGGGGCCATAAAATTCACAATTTTGGTAGAGACACTCTTGCTCATCATAACTTTGTACTTAATTAGTTTATTTATTACCCAGTAGCAGAGAAGAAGATTTTCAAAGAATTTATGCATTTTTACTATATAATCAATAGAGCCCCGCCCTAACACCAGAACCCCGACCCTGGGGCCATGAATTTCACAATTTTGGCAGAGGACTCAATGCTGATTACAATCATACCAACAGTTTGACTGCTTGATGTCCAGGAGTAAAGAAGATTTTTAAAGATTGCACTAATTTTAGTGGTTTTTGCCCCATCCCCCAGGCCCCAGGGGGGCAGGGACCATGAAATTCACAATTTTTGTTCCCCTTCACCCATAGATTGTCAAGATTGTAGCACTCATAGAAAACACATCTGAACCGTATAGTGGTTTATTTGAAACTTAACAAGTATATAACATAACGTTATGGTAACGTCTATGACGTCATAGTACTGCGACGTCATAGTTCGGCAAAAGTCACTTACATAAACATGATTATATTGACAAAGGTAAATAAGAAAAGCACTTATGTTTATAATTCACAACATAGATGCTATATGCCAAATTTGGTTGAAATTGATTCAGTGGTTTCAGAGAAGAAGCTGAAAATGTTCAAATGTTAACGCACGACGAACGACGACGGACGAAAAGTGATAGCAATAGGTCACCTGAGCTTACTCAGGTGACCTAAAAAGAAAAACGGTTACGAAAAGCTGAAAGTCTATACTATCAGTATCTATGATAAAAATCGCATTTATATTTTGCAAGAGGCATTTTTTGATGGTTCGTGGACTTAGCTCTTTAACTCTACATTACTTTTTTGATAATCAATCATGGCTTTGTGAAGAAATTTAATGATTTCTACTCTGTACTCCTAAGTAAAACCTTGATCATTCATTGTGGCCCCACTCTAACCCCGGGGGGTCGTGATTTGAACAAACTTGAATCTACAATACCAGAGGATGCTTCCATATAACTATAACCAATCACAGCTTTGCTATTCTCAAGAAGAAAAATTTTAAAGATTTTTTTCTATGTAATCCTACTTTGATCATCCATAATGGCCCCAGCCTTGCAGGGGTCATGATTTGAACAAACTTTAATCTTCACTACCAGAGGATACTTCCATATCACTATGATCAATCATGGCTTAGTTGTTCTTGAGAAAAAGATTTTTAAAGATTTTTCCTATGTATTCCTATGTTAAACTGTGATCCCCCACTGCCCCCTACCCCCGAGGGTCATCATTTGAACAAACTTGAATCTACTCTTTCAGAGGATGCTAATCCATGTAGGTAATCATGGCTCTGCTGTCTCTGAGAAAATTTTTTAAAAAGGTTTTTCCATGTATTCCTATGTTAAATGTTGATCCCCACTGTGGCTCCACCCTACCCCAGGGGGTCATGATTTGGACAAATTTGAATCTTCACAACCAGAGGATGCTTCTACATGAGTTTCATCTTTGCTGGCCCACTGTTTCTTGAGAAGAAGATTTTTAAAGATTTTTCCTATGAATTCCCATGTTTAAATTTGATACCCCATTGTGGCCCCATCCTACCCTCAGGGGTCATGATTTGAACAAATTTGAATCTTTACAACCAGAGGATGCTTCTATGTGAGTTTTATCTTTCCTGGCCCACTTTTTCTTGAGAAGAAGATTTTAAAAGACTTTTCTTATTTATTCCCATGTTAAACTTTGATACCCAATTGTGGCCCCATCCTACCCTCAGGGGTCATGATTTGAACAAATTTGAATCTTTACAACCAGAGGATGCTTCTATGTGAGTTTTATCTTTCCTGGCCCACTTTTTCTTGAGAAGAAGATTTTAAAAGACTTTTCTTATTTATTCCCATGTTAAACTTTGATACCCAATTGTGGCCCCATCCTACCCTCGGGGGTCATGATTTAAACAAATTTAAATCTTTCTTCACTACCAGGGAATGTGTCTAAATGAGTTTCATCTTTTCTGACCCTGTGGTTCTTTAGAAGAAAAATTTCTATGTATTCCTATGTTAAACTTTGATCAGCCATTGTGGCCCCGACCTACCCCTGGGGGTAATGATTTGTACAAATTTGAATTTTCACTACATGATGATGCTTCCACATGAGTTTCATCTTTCCTGGGCAACTGGATCTTGAGAAGAAAATTTTTAAAGATTTTTCCTATGTATTCCTATGTTAAACTTTGATACCCCATTGTGGCCCCACCTTACCCGAATGGATCATGATTTGAACAAACTGTAATCTACACTACCTAAGGATGTTTCAACATGAGTTTCATTTTTCCTGGCCCACTGATTTTTGAGAAGAAGATTTTTAAAAGATACCATTAATTTATCAATAATTCATAATTATCTCCCCTTGGAACAGGGCATGGCCCTACATTTAAACAAACTCCCATCACTTAAGCATACTTTGTGGCAAGTTTGGTTGAAATTGGCCCAGTGGTTCTGGAGAAGAAGAAAATGTTAAAAGCTTCCAACATCAACGACGACAACAACACCAACAACAACGATGACAGACAACAGACAAATTTTTATCAGAAAAGCTCACTAGAGCCTATGGCTCAGGTGAGCTAAAAAAAAAAAGGGGGGATGCACAGTTAATGTGGAAATGTAGTCAAGGTGTGAAAAGTCAATCGCATCAAAAAATGATGTTGATCATGTGTGGTAGATATTGAACTCCAAATATCAAAAAAATATGCTGGCATAATCAAGCGAGGATCTCTCCCAGTGTATAAATCCATTTGCAATATTATATGCATTGCAAGCAGCTGTTCATGACATTGTAAAGTCATATAAACAGAACAGGTCTAAGTCCTTACTAAGCTCCAGGGAATCTCATCAAGATACATGCAAGCGGTAGAAGAAAAGGACATTGAAAAACAATGACGTTCAATTGTTGGATGTCATGAAACTGAATGGAGCCAGCACAGGCTGATCATATAATGTCATTTTTATTTTATAATAATTTGGCAAATAATGAATGTAGCAAGCTAAAATTTTCAACATTTCTTTATTTTTTGTTGTTTTATGTTCCTTAATAATATTGAAAGCATGTGCAGAGACTACATTATAAGCAGGGGCGTAGTATCAGGGGGGGCCAGGGGGGGCCTGGCCCCCCACTTTTTCTCCCGACATTACCTTTACTATAGAAAATGTTTACTGAATGGAAGGTTGCCCCCCCCCCCCCCCACATTTCAGCAAAGGGTAGTGTTATAAATAAAATTTACCCCAAAAATTTTTAATTTAAAGATTGTTGGTCTTTAAAAAAGTTAGCCACTACCCCCCCCCCCCCCCCCCCCCCCCCCCCACGAAATAGGATTTTTCAGTTTGGGCAACTTTTACACTTTCCGTTTTTTTTTTTTTTATTTTTATTTTTTTTTTTTTTTGCTTGTCAACTTTTTCAGGTAAGTAAAAAAAAAATTTCTACCCCCACTTCCAAAAACGATGCTACGCGCCTGATAAGTACTAATTTTATCACCTCAGTCCACAGTTTTTTGATAACCTTTCGTATATTGATAATTTCTTGAAAATATACACCATCTGAAAGGGTTCCGAGGAACATAATTTAATTTTGAGAAAACTGGCATCAAATAAACTTGTCCTTTAAAAGATAATAAATTAATTTGTACCTGTGTGTTGAGAGTGTGAATCATACGATGCCTTGTGTAGTTTCCTATTCTGCTAAACGTAGCACTACATAGGTCACAGTTATGCACATATTCTTCCTCTTTTTGGCTAGAACCATTGGATCTCGGATCTTGTTTAACCACCGCGAGGACAGCTACTTTATCTTCAGTATCTCTGTGTTCCAAACAGATTTGGTCGTGTGATGATCTACGTCTATTTGCCACTGAGCTGCCTTTTCCCTTAAGTTTAACTTTACTTGAAGTTTGTTTTTCAGATTCCAATATTTTATCACTTGACCTAGTTTCATTATCCCCTTTTTTTACTGCAGTCCTAGGGAAACACATTTCTGAAGGATCATTTTTTGAACTTTTTGATGTGGGAGGATTTAAAATTGAAACATACTTTACTTCTTTTGGAATGTTAGCACATTCATTTGCATGAATTAATTTCTGTATTTCTACATGTATGTTAACCTTTTCTTGTGATGAAACTTGACTTCCTTTCATGGCCTTTGTTAGGGATTCCATAACAAAATTCTGATTACGGCAATCAAATGTAAGAGCAATATTCTTACCGTAAACTAAAATTTTAGTGTTTTTCTGATTGTCTGATAATTCTTTAGCATGTGATAAACACTCAGTATCTGTCTGTTTATCTACATATTCTTCAGCTGGATCTCTTTCAGTACAACATGTAAGTGATTGTTTCATCCCAACTTGGCTTTCTTTATCTTTAGAAAAAATTTGCCCTTTTATCTGCATGCTTTCATTTCTGCTATTTTTCTCTAGAAGTGTCTTTATAGTCATCCCTTCATCCAAAATTTCATTTACAACTTTCCCCCTCAAAGAATCTAGCACAGAGGTATTTTGAATAGACAGAGTCGTATTTGAATCATTAGAAATCTGCAAGACTTGATTATGTTGCAAAGAACTTTGTTGTGGTTGAGTTGAAATGCTTGAATAAGACAGACTGTTTTCATTAAATTGTTTAGGTAGAGATTGCAGAAGTAAGACATTACCTAGCAGCACAGCTGCTGGGGAATTTCTTTGAATGAAAGGCAAGCCAGAGTATGCTGATGATGACTGAATGTTCCTGCAATGACCCTGGGATTTAATTGATGACAGTAACTGCATGTTCTCTATTGGTATGATCTGTATAGTTGACATCCCAAGCAGGTTGGTTTGATTTAACTGAATTGGCTGTATATTTGTCACATTTCCTAGATTGAGTGTATTTGAGGAAAGAATAGGATGTTTGTGTAGTACACCTCCTCCCTCTAATGCAGCATTTACAATGCTATATCCCTCACTGCACTCTTCAACAGAATCTGTTCCAATTTCTGCATCTGAACCCAAAGGAAAATCTGTTGTTGAGACCAAATCATTGGTAGGACCAAGGTCAAATTGAAAATCTGTGGCAGACAGATGTTTTATAGCAGTATCATGGTGACCAACACATTGGGCTGTTCCTGACACTGTATCTAACAACTGCCCAGTCCCAAGGCCCAATTTGTCATTTATGCTGGTGTTTGTACCTCCAAATACAGTGTCAGCTAACTGGCTTGATTCTGGAAAGTTGAACTCAATGTTGCAACCTAAATCCATCATGTCTAAGAATTCAGCCTATAAGAAAATCATTAACTACAATTAATCAAAACAATAGACAACAGAAATAGTCTATCACAAGAACACACCCTCTCACACACACACGCTATTTATAATCACTCCTCTGAGAAAATTGTATAACCTCTCTTTTTTTAAGCCTCTTTAGTATCCTATATCCTAGAGAAAGCCTTGAAATTCTAAATGTAGGAAATCATATCCTATATTTTGATTAAAAAAATTCTTAAAACTCTAGATGCATCAACTGACCAAGTTTGATGATTCAAGGCCTTTAGCTATTATCTTAAATATTAAAAAAAATTTCAAAAGTAGATCAGCATGTCCTACTTTTGGGTTAACTTACTCTGCAACCCCAAGATGCATCAACTGGCAAAGTTGCTAACTAGGACACTGTGCTGGAACACGTTAAATAATCAGCCATCGATTTAAAATATTCTTTACTTACGTTATGGGAGAGGAGAAAATGCAGCGGACCAGATTTGAACCCAGGCCCCTTGAAACTCCGGTCAGGTGCTCTACCGACTGAGCTATCTAGCCACCTGCGATCAAACCCGGCTGCCCGCCACATTCCTCCCTTCATAAAGGTCTTTGGCCCCCAAAGACCCCAACCCAGGCTCATCAACTGTCAGTTCCAGGGCATGGCATGGCACCAAATGTAATGGGAGAGGAGAAAAAACAGCGGACCAGACCAGGATTTGTACCCGGGCCCCCTGAAACTCCGGTCAGGTGCTATACCAACTGAACTATCTGGCCACCAGCGATCGAACCAGGCTGACTGCCACACTTGCATGGATGGGCTCATATGTTTTATGCTTTGTAAATAATGTATTTGTGCCATACAGATTAAATAGGAGGATGGAAAATAAAGATCTACCCAGTAGTATTTTTTAGTACATGTCATTGTTATTCATCTAGTCTAACTCGAGATCCATTCTTACAATGCTTAAGCTCCACCTTTAATATATACATAAATAATGTTCAATCAAGGGCAATTAAGTGTAAATTCTCTGTATTTGGAAAACCGTAAGAACGAGAAACATGATACAAACAAGAGATGTTTGTAAAACATTTATGCCCCCCTCCCCCCAAATTGGAATTTTTCTAAGTCCAAAAGGGCATAACTCTGTCTAAAATGGTGCGATCCTACCCAAAACATTTCTTGACCTAGATATTCAGCTGAAAAATCTGTATACTAAATTTCATTTCAATACGTGCAACCTCTGCAAAGAAAATGAATGGAAACTGCAATTAAGTGGAATTTTTCTAAGTCCAAGGGGCATAACTCTAACAAAAAGGATGCAATGGTACCCAAAACATTTCTTGATTTAGATATTTATCTGACATAACTGTATACTAAATTTCATTTCAATATGTGCAACTTCTGCAAAGAAAATGAATGGAAACTGCAAATAAGTGGAATTTTTCTAAGTCCAAGGGCCATAACTCTAACAAAAAGGATGCGATCATACCCAAAACAGAACTTGACCTAGATATTTATCTGATATATCTGTATACTAAATTTTATTTCAATATGTGCAACGTCTGCAAAGAAAATGAACGGAAACTGCAAATAAGTGGAATTTTTCTGAGTCCAAGGGGCATAACTCTGTCAAAAATGGTGCGATCGTACCCAAAACAAAACTTGACCTACATATTTACCTGATAAACCTATATACCAAATTTCATTTCAATATGTGCAACGTCTGCAAAGGAAATGAACGGAAACTGCAAATAAGTGGAATTTTTTTGAGTCCAAGGGGCATAACTCTGTCAAAAATGGTGCGATCAGACCCAAAAGAGAACTTGACCTACATATTTACCTGATAAATCTATATGCCAAATTTCATTTCAATATGTGCAACGGTTGTGAAGAAAATGAACGGAAACTAATTGGACCGACAGACCGATGGACAGCAGCAAAGCAATATGCCCTCCCTTCTTCGAAGGGGGGTATAATTATTGTACACATGTATTACAGACTAAAATTATTTTGAACATTTAAATTAGGTGTGTAATTGACAGACCTCTGTAGTAAATGTATAAAAGTGAAATTAGGTTAAGATTTTTAAAAGCAACAGAAGCAACCAAAAAAGACCCAAAAGACAGCATTAGATGCAGTCATCCTTTCAACAACAGTCTTTCAAAGATGGTTTTAGAATGAATGCATTCCATACTTATCATATGATTCATCAGCAAGAAAAATTTAAGTAAAACTTGTAGACTTTTGCTGCATATGAGTTTAAATTCTTAGGGATGTTCAAAAGATATGTCACCTCAATGAAACCAAGCTATGAAATTTTCCTTTTTGAATAAATAATAACATACTTATTTATTATACTTCTGTTAAAATGTTTCCTATATAAAGTTTAGAAGGTAAAATGACTATTTTTCATAGTCTGAAAATTTCCACGCATAGAAAGCTATACCCCGGGGTATAGTTTTTGCTATCCATCCTCGGAAGATTTTCAAGCAATTTTTTCTGCCAATTTTGATTTCTAGCGATAAATCAATAGACTTAGAAATTATAATATAAATCAGTATAATAAAACGCCTATCAATTGGCTGTGAGTGGGATAGCCTTTTTATCAAACCCTTGACAGGAACTATTCCCCTCGGGCAAGCCCTCGGGGAATAGTTCCTGTTGCGGGTTTGATAAAAGAGCTCTCCCACTCACAGCCAGTGGATAAGTGTATATTATCCCTGAAAAGAGGAATAATTCTGTTTTATAGTAATCAGTCTAGACAAACTCCAAAAACGAAATTAACAGAAGTACGAAATAGAGACTGAAAAAGACTCTGAAACAAGAGGCCCTGGGGCCACAGCGTTCACTTGAGCACATCGGCTAGGAAAAAGCACATATCAGATTAGTCTGAAATATCTGACGTTTTCCAGGCTTTTTTACGTATTTGATACTTTCCGTGCCAGGAAAACGTCAGAACCGGCGCCATTACGAAAAGTGGAAATTTTGCTGTCTTCAACCGGAGTTGATTTTAAATACTTGTGAACCGAACTAAATGATGAAATAAGAATTTATCGGAAGCACAATGCCTATAGAACTCAACAATATTAATGAAAAGAAAATATCACTCCACATTTCGTTACAGGACTCGCAAGATTTTAAAATGCAAGAAATGTTAACAAATCTCATCAGTCTGATAAAATGTTTTCAACGGATTGTATATTCAATAAATGAACCATAGAAACAATATTGTTAAGTACTCAAAGTATTGTACTATCCATAACTTGTGACTTTGATATTTAATTCAGTGTATAAGTATCTGAAATCCCAGTTTTTGTAATGGCGCCGGTTCTGACGTTTTCCTGGCAGGTAAAATATCAAAATCGTTAAAGAGACTGGAAAACGTCAGATATTTCGGACTAATAACAGATCAGAACTGAAAGTTTACTGAGTTGGGGGGGCTTGAATTTTAACCCTCCAGGGGGTCATGATTTAAACAAACTAGAATCTACACTAGCTGAGGATGATTCCATATAAATATCACTAATCATGGCTTTGAAGTACTTGAAAAGATTTTAAAAGGTTTCCCTATATAATCCTACGTAAAACTTTGGTCGGCCATTTTGGCCCCACCCTAGCCCCTGGGGTCATGATTTGAATCTACACTACCTGAGGATAATTTCACATGAGTTTCATCTTTCCTGTCTCAATTGTTCTTGAGAAGAAGATTTTTAAAGATTTTTCCTATAAATTCCTATGTAAAACTTTGATCAGCCATTTTGGCCCCAACCTAGCCCAGGGGGTCAGGATTTGAACAAACTTGAATCTACACTACCTGAGGATGATTCCACATGAGTTTCATCTTTCCTGGCCCAGTTGTTCTTGAGAAAAAGATTTTTAAAGATTTTTCCTATATATTCCTATGTAAAAATTTGATCAGCCATTTTGAACTCACCCTAGCCCAGGGGGTCATGATTTGAACAAACTTGAATCTACACTACCTGAGGATGATTCCACATGAGTTTTATCTTTCCTGGCCCAGTGGATCTTGAGAAGAAGATTTTTTTAAAATGCCATTAATTTTTCTCTTTTTCATAATTATTTTCCCTTAGAAAAGGGCGTGGCCCTTCATTTGAATAAACTTGAATCCCTTTCACCTAGGAATACTTTGTGGCAAGTTTGGTTGAAATTGACCCAGTGGTTCTTGAGAAGAAGATGAAAATGTAAAAAGATGACAACGATGCCAATGCCAACGACAATGACAACGATGACAGGCAACGGACAAATTTTGATCAGAAAAGCTCACTTGAGCCTTCGGCTCAGGTGAACTAGAAAGGATCGGTGCATGTGCAGACACACAAAAAATATCAATTTTTCATGGGTCTAAAAATCTGTCCATGCAAAGTTTTAGAAAATATGACAATTATTTCAATACTCTGAAATGCTACATAAAAGAAGTCAATAAAGATTGTATTTGTTAGATTTTTTATTTCATTTGCAAAAAAAGAGAGATATTTACTTTCAAAGTTCTCATTTTAAATAAGATGAGTTGCAGAGAAAATTAAATGTTTGGAAATGATAAAAGGGAAATATGTGAAAAATTTAAGCAGTTTTAAGTGTAACGGGGACTGTTACAGATGTTCCCCAAATGCTCCCCAACTCCCTTTTTGAGCTATTTCCCTGCAAGACTTTTTAAAAATATGCTCCCTCTCAAAGGATTTCATCAAAGAATTATAAATCTACATTGATATTAACTATATCTCATTTAACGTATTGCACATGCACGCACATGCATGCACAAGCAAGATGATCATTGTATGTTCTCTAAACCATTAACATATCTTTATATCGTAAGAATCAATAAAAATATCATAAAATATAAATGTTACTGTTTATCAAACATATTGGTGATTTTTGCACGTGCATGCATGTATGTCCTTGCATTCCAATTTGATAGTAGCATAATGTAGGAACCATCATACCTATTCATATTCTGAATTTCATCCCGTTTCGTTGAGAACTTAGAAAGTTATAGAC